CTGGCACGTGAACTTGGGTTCAATAACAGTTGAATGTGTTATCTACATTTATAGCTGAGAATATTGAGGTTCATAGATGGACATGATTTGTTCAAGGTCACATAACTTGTGACAGTCCTGAGTCTCCACAACTTCTCCCTCTAAGGTCTATGGTCTATCTACTATCTCACTTAATTTGTCTAAATGAAAGGTGAATATTATTTTAAAATTAATCATTGTTCTGTATTTAATTGGGCAACTGAACTTCTGTGTCTACGAAATGAACAAGGAAGAAATGAGAAATATCCAAGACAGTTTATGGAGTTAAGAGAATTGATAAACTGTAGACACAGATTATAGACCCCAAAACTGAAACAGCCTTTCTGCAACTGAGAAAAGATTTTTCTTGCCCGTAGTCCTTCCCTGCTTCAGTGAAGACAGGATACTTGCAGTGAGCACACTCTGTGACTTTCTCAGGGTAAGCTAGTATTGGCAGGCCTTGCCCCACCCACACTTCCTTTAACTTGCTGTGTTCAAGATATAAACAAGCCCTTGTTTTCCTCCCTGAGCACTGTGGGTCTTAAACTCTTTTCAACAAGCACTTCTTTGGGACGTAATATTCTCCTGCCCTTGAATAAAAGACCAAAGGATACTCCTTTCCAAAGTGAAATAGTCATTTATATCCAGCTACTTAACTCTCCTCTTGTTTCAGAATGGTACAGCTAGCCCACACACACGGGTTATTTTTTCTTCTGCCTTTTAATTTATGAATAAGTAAATGTTCAGATCAATTATTGATCTTTACATTAACATCATGCTTTACTTTTCTTACCCAGCCTAAATGCCTTTAGACTTATGGGATGGCCTTAGTTAAAGAAAAAGGAGGAGTATAAAACATTGTAATTTAATGTTTCCCATTCTACCCCAGGAAAAAAATCTCAATAACTCACTTGCCCCAAGAAAAACACAGCAGTTTGAGAGACCTGTAATTAGAGATTAAATTTAGAGTAGGTAGCATGTGGAGACTCAATAATGAAAGATTGGATTCAACCTGCTGTTTACGGAGGCAACTCAGAGGTTAGTTTGTATCAAGTTCTCACTTCCAATTCCAATTTTAACCAGCAATACTTTACTTTTAAGCCTCTGGCACTCTTTGCTGTTGCTCTAATTGCTAAATTTGTAGGCAGCAAGAGTTGCAATGGTGACTGTAATGGACTTTTTCATAGTATAGTGAATCTGTTATTGTATGGTACTATGGGGACACATACCACAGTACCATAGCTACAGGTGGTACCAAGCAGGCATTCTGTGGATGGGATGACAGGCCTGGTGATGTAACAAGAAACAACTAAGGAAATACTTTCTAAAATCTCTCCATGATAAAGGTATTCTTAGCCATTTTTCATGCCTAACTAACCCCAGGTATGGAGACTTTATCAAGTAAGGGTGAATAGTTGAAGTTGGTAGAGAAGGAGTGCCACCATATGCTGAGAGAGAAGAATTACAAGGCTTGAATTCTCACTTGTCTAGTTAGTAGGTTCCGCAGAAACTCTGTGTAGTATTTACATTTCTGCCGCTGCAAAATATATGCTTTCCAATTGCCGCAGATAAATACGTGCTGTACATAAATTCTCTATAGCTTTTCAAGAACCCTGAAGTGTCTGAGATTTACCCTGTTTGCCTGCCACAGTTCCATGAATGCTGGTAGAAGCCAGCAAACTGCTGAGTCAGAGATGAAGGATCATTTATTACTTATAGCAGAAGCAACCAAGCATCAGAAGTTTTGCACCACTTCCCTGAGCCCCAATTCCCACAGGGTGATGTGAAGAAGGCCAGGTGACATCACAGATATTTCAACACAGAAAAGAAAAAAAACATCACAGATATTTCAACACAGGTGACATCACAGATATTTCAACACAGAAAAGGAAGCTTAGGAAATCCAAACCTTTAATAGTGGGCAGTAAGAAAGATTGCCCTTTGCTCAAAAGGAGACAGGATCTCCGACTTCTAAGGCTGTAAGCAAACCTGCCCCTTGCTCCAGAGATAGACATTATTTCTATTGTCCAAGGTTGTTTCCTACACAAAGGAAAGGGCAGACAGCTACCCCCTTACAAGACAAGCAGACACATGAGAGACCCATGGAGAACTGTCTCCCAAACCTGCAAAGTGTAACTTTGATTTTAACGAACCTGTATTATTGACTAGCACCCCTCTCCAACTTAATTTCATAAAGATTGCATATTAGTCATTTCTTGCTGCGCAACAGCATTTCCACAAACCTAGTGGTAATACACATTTATTTGTTATTATTGCACTTCTGTACTTAGGCATCTGGGAATGGCTTAAGTGGCTCCTCTGATTAGGGTCTCAAGACGCAATCAGGATTTTGGCTGAGGCTGTGGTCTCATCTGAAGTTCTACTGGGGAAAAACATGCTTTCAATCTCATTTAGGTTGTTGGCAGAATTCAGTTTCTTGAAGTTGTAGGACTGAAGGATTTGGTTTTTCACTTGCTGTGGTCAGAGGCCACCCTCATCTCCGAGAGGCTACCTGTAGTTCCTTGCCGCTTGGGGTTTCCAAACATGGCCACTTGCTTCCTTAAAGCCAGCAAGGGAGAAAGTGAGCAACTCCAGCAAAATGGAGTTAACTACAGTCTATGTAAAACAATCAACGTCATACATAAACCACTACATTTGACATATTCTATTGGTTAGTGTCTTCCATTATGCTTATCAAGGGGGCTGGCTGTTGGCTACTTCAGATAATTTATCTGATAGAGTGAGGAAAAGTCTTTCTAAGGAGGGGACATTCTAGCTAAGACTTCAGATGATGAGGAGTCAGCAGGGATAAGATGTGGGTAGGGGTGAAGAGCATTCTGGGAAGAAGGAACAGAAAGTAGGAAATGTAGCTATACCCGAAGACAGAAAAATATTATCATGCCATTATAACATTGTATTTTACATGTTTTTGAGTCTGTTTTCTCCATCATACAGTGAGCTGTACAAATTATCTTAGATCTTCAATACCTATTTCATAGTAGACAGTAAATTTATATTATAAATGGATGGATTTATTCACTTAAGACTCATTTTGTTAAGCTTTCAGATACCAGGTACTTCAGAGATACAAAATGACATGTAAAGGCCTGTGCCCTCAATGAACTCACAGGTGTGGAGAGCAAAGTTGCTAACAATTACTAATACAAGGTGGTCAATGCCATTGGTGCTCCTACAGCACTGGAAGAAAGAAAGAAGCCTTGGTCTATTGGGGTGATTTGGGAGACTACATAAAGGTGGCAAAATTAGCACTGAGTCTTGAAGAATACCTAAATTAGTTGAGGGGCATAAACAGGAAAAAGGCATTTTAGGCAAAGGAATCAGTTTGAGTGGCAAAATAATCTGGCTGGTTTGCAAAAAACCCAAGAAGTTCAGGAGTAGAGAAAATAAAACCAGGAGTATGTGTGGAAAGAGGGATAGCAGGCCAGGAGGCTCATTGAAGTGTCTGTGGATTATATCAAAAAGACAAAGACGCTAACTCTAACGTGCAACACTAGCCAAATGGGATAATTTGAGCATCATAAAGTATAATGATCATAATGGATTAAAAGAATCTGATATGTAAAAATGCATTCATTCATAATGGTACTAATCAAAGAAAATCTTATTGGTTAACATTTGAGGTTGCTAGGGCACCAACTCATTTCTGTGAAATTTGATAACTAAAATGAAAGAATCCAGCATTCATGCAGACTTTTCTCTATGATCCCTGTATTTCAGGATAACCAATGAGTTGGTGAGGGAAAGTTCTTTTTACAGAGGAATTCCAGGTAATAAAGAAAACTATTGAAGGTATCAGAAATTCACTGTTCTAGCATAAAAGACTTAAGAGATATCAAAATGCAATGTGAAGACTTTTTTCTTGGATCTTTTGATCAGAAAAAAACAACTATTGAATGACATCTTGGACTCAACCAGTGACATGTGAATACATACTGAATATTAGATACATAGGAATTATTAATTTTGTTAGATGCTGACAATGGCGATTAAATTAAAAATCCTTATCAGTTGGAGATGCAGATTAATTTAAGGGTAAAAGCAAAAAGGGGAGGTAGGCGACAGATGAAACTAGATTGGCAAAATGTTGATAATTGTTGAATCTTGGTGATGGCTAGTGAGGGTTCATTACTAAAAGTGGATTCACTTTTGCCTATGTTAAAAATTTTTCCATAATAGTTTTAAAAAGCAGAGCCAGTGCCTACTACACCACATCATCTTCAGCTGATTTAATGCCCAGGGCTCAGAAAAGGGTAGCAGAATGCGAATCAACAGTTACTAATTACCCAGCCCACCCCAAACGCTGATACCCACGGCCAGAGCTCAGTGTGCCAAAGGCTGACGTTCAGGAGCTTGGATTCCTCAGCTCGAACAAGCCCCGCGGAGAGGGGATGTCCGAAATGAAAGCCCCCAACTATTCTAGAAGGTGCTGAGATTTCCCAGGCATTTCCGAAAGAGGCTAACGGAGTGTAACTGGCCGATGGCTGCAGGATTTAAGCAGCAGCCTTTTCCCCAGCCTGCGGCCCCCTGGCCTCGGCCCTGGTGGGCGGCTAAATGCTCGTGGCTTGGTCACCGGAGTGAAGTGGAAAGCGAGGCCGTCCCTCTCCCTTCCCTCCTCCCCTCCCCAGGCCTGCCCTTCTTTCCTCCTTTCTTCCCCCTTCTTCCTCCACCCCTCACGCTCCTCTCCTCTGCGCACTTTCCGGACCTTCCGCTCCTGCGCCTCGCCCCACCCCTCCCTTGTCATCACTCGGCTCCTCCTCCCCCAGCCAGCCCCGCCCCTCCCTTCACGAGCCCCGCCCCGTACCGTCGCTCAGCCCCGCCTCTCCTGCTCCTCGCCCCGCCCCTTCCTTGTCGTCACTCGGCTCCTCCTCTCACACGCGAGTCCCGCCCCTCTCTTCTGGATTAGCTGTGTGTCCCCGCTCAGCCCTCGCTCCTTGCGGGGGTTACCATAGCTACGTTGCACACCGCATCTCGGTCTCCCTAGTCGGTTCTGGCTGGCCGCAGGGAAGAGCCGGCACCATGAGTCACGTAGTGACCATCGAAGAGCCCCAGGCCAAGCCGCAGGTGTCTCAAACCCGGTGCGGAGGGAGGTCGGGGGCCTGGGGCAAAGTCTCTGCCAATCGAACATATGATTTCCTATACGGTAAGGGCGGCTCCAGACCTCCCTCCTGAGTTGACGACTCCTGGGCCAGGTGGGCTTTGAGACGGTGGGACCTGGCCGGGGGCGCGGCGGACAAAAGACGAGCCACAGGACGGATCCTTTGCCCGCGGTCCTCTTCTGTTGGGTGGGGGCAGCTCCAAGCCCCCGAGGTGGTGGCGCTCTCGCGGGGGTGGGGAAGGTGTCTCGGAGACCACAGGTGCGCTCTGCATCTCAGAGCACTGAGCGGGAACACCTGACTCTTCTCCACCCTCTTTTTCTGATAATTTGCACAGCCTTAAGCAATCGTCCTGAATCCTGTTCCTGGCGTTCTGACTTGGAGATTCACTCAACACTCCCGCGTGCAAACTGCATAAAATGCCCAAAGAGAATGACCCTCCTGCTCCCATTCCCTGGGCAACTCCAAATTTGGCATTCTAGGTAAAGAAGGGCCAGTTTATCTCATCTTTGTTTTCAGGTTTCTCTTTTTTTTTTTTGCGGTACGCGGGCCTCCCACTGCTGTGGCCTCTCCCGTTGAGGAGCACAGGCTCTGGACGCGCAGGCTCAGCGGCCACGGCTCACGGGCCCAGCCGCTCCGCGGCATGCGGGATCCCCCCGGACCGGGGCACGAACCCGCGCCCCCTGCATCGGCAGGCGGACCCCCCCAACCACTGCGCCACCAGGGAAGCCCCAGGTTTCTCTTTTTATTTAAGCTTATTCTTATCCATCAAAGTGTTGCTTATAAACTAGGTCCACTAGGGCCTTTGGGCCAGTAAAAGCCCCAGTTTATTTTAATGACCTGATTGTTCATTTATGTTCTGTCTCTTCTACTGGACCATAAGTTCCCTGAGTTCTTTAAGTTCTTGTTCTATACATTTTTGTAGCCTTCTCAGCACTTATTCCAGTGCTGGTACATATGTTAGGTGCTATGTAATTTATTATGAATTATTGAATTGAATTTACTACTACAATAATTATAATCAGTAAAGCATGATTTTTTCCAGTTTTGCCCTGTCACCCTACTTTTAACCACGTGGTATCTCCTCTGGGAATCCCAGGGTCTCCTTTGGATGGGAATCTTTAGGGTAGCCATTTCCTGGTGTTGGGAATGTGTAATGATTGCTTACATTTGTATAGTACTTTACAGTTAACACCATTCTTTTATAAATCTTACCTCATTTATATACCATTTTGCATTTAACTTGACTTTAATCCTTTGTATCTCTCAAGTGCCTCACTCGAAGTGCCCACAATACTTTGTCACTTCCCTGAATCTACATTTGTTGATGGATTAGTAGCTACACTAATGCCCTGCTAATTCAAGTCTTTTAAATATGATATATTTTTCCCAGCTTCCAAAAATATTTTATAATACTTCCTGGGTTTATCAAGAGCTCTTTCCTCCTTTCTTTCCCCCCAGAATCTGCAGTTTATTATAGTTTTCCCAAAAAGTAATCATCATATTTTCGGGTTTGAAACACTTCCTCATCGTCACCATTACTTGGTTGTGACAACTTCCTGTGCTTCTTAGAATTATTTTTACAATATGGGTAAATTGGCTGAGGGGCTCTTTCATGATTTCCATGGAAAAATTTCCCCCATTAAATTCATGGGCTTTTGATAACATTAGGCCTGGGAGCTGAAAGGATTGGTGTTCGAATCAACTGCCAATCAATAAGTTGCCAACTTTTTTATTTTTTAATAAATTTTTTTGAAGTATGGTTGATTTACAATACTGTGTTAGTTTCAGGTATACAGCAAAGTAATTCAGTTATTTATATATATAGTTCAGATTATTTTCCATTGTAGGTTATTATATTTAATTTACAGTAAATCCTTGTTGCTTTTCTATTTTATGTGTAGTAGTTTGTATCTGTTAATCCCATACTCCTAATTTATCCCTCCCACCTCCCTTTCCCCTTTGGTAACCATAAGTTTATTCTCTATGTCTGTGAGTCTGTTTTGTATGTAGATTCATTTGTATTATTTTTCAGATTCCCCATATAAGTGATATTGTGTAATATTTGTCTTTGTCTGACTTACTTCGCCAAGTATAATATTCTCTAGGTTCATACATGTTGCTGCAAATGGCAATATTTCATTCTTTTTCTATGGATGAGTAATAGTCCATTGTGTGTGTGTGTGTGTATATATATATGTGTATGTGTATATATATATATACCACATCTTCTTAAGCCAATCATCTGCTAATGGGCACTGGGTTGCTTCCATATTTTGGCTATTGTAAATACTGCTGCTATGAACATTGGGGTACAGGTATCTTTACAAATTAGAGTTTTCATTTTTTACAGATATATACCCAGGAGTGGGATTAGTGGATCATATGTTAGCTCTAGTTTTTTTTAAGGAACCTCCATACTGTTTTCCATAGTGGCTGCACCAATTTATACATTCCCACCAACAGTGTAGGAGGGTTCCCTTTTTTCCACACCCTCTTAGGAATTTACTATTTATAGACTTTTTCATGATAGCCATTTTGACCACTGTGTAGTGATACCTCATGGTGGTTTTGATTTGCATTTCTTTAATAATTAGTCATGTTGAGCAATTTCTCATATGCTTCTTGGCCATCTGTATGTCTTCTTTGGAAAATGTCTATTTAGGTCTTCTGCCCATTTTTTGATTGGGTATTTATTTATCTATCTATTTATTTATTTATTGCCACATTGGGTCTTTGTTGCTGCGTGCGGGCTTTCTCTCTTTGCAGTGAGCAGGGGCTACTCTTTGTTGCGGTGTGCAGGCTTCTCATTGCGTTGGCTTCTCTTGTTGCGGAACATGGGCTCTTTGCTTGCGGGCTTCAGTAGTTGCAGAATGTGGGCTCAGTAGTTGTGGCACATGGGCCCTAGAGTGCGCGGGCTTCAGTAGTTGCAGCACGTGGGCTCAGTAGTTGTGGCACGCAGGCTTTAGGGCATGTGGGCTTCAGTGGCTGTGGCACATGGGCTTTGTAGTTGTGACTCGTGGGCTCTAGAGTGCAGGCTCAGTAGTTGTGGCACACGGGCTTAGTTGCTCCGCGGCATGTGGGCTCTTCCCTGGACCAGGGATCAAACCCGTGTCCCCTGCATTGGCAGGTGGATTCTTAACCACTGCACCACCAGGGAAGTCCCTGTGTGTTTTTGATATTGAGTTGTGTGAGCTGTTTGTATATTTTGGTTATTAACCCTTTGTTGGTCACATTGTTTGCAAATATTTTCTCCCATTCCGTAGGTTTTTTCAGTTTGTTGATGGTTTGCTTTACTGTGCAAAATCTTTTAAGTTGGATTAGTGCCATTTGTTTATTTTTGCTTTTATCTCTTTTGCCTTGGGAGACTGATCTAAGAAAATATTGCTACAATTTATGTCAGAGGATGTTTTCCCTATGTTCTCTTCTAGGAGTTTTATGGTTTCATGTCTTATATTTAGGTCTTTAACTCATTTTGAGTTTATTTTTGTAAATGGTTTGAGGGAGTGTTCTAATTGCATTAATTTACATGTAGCTAGCTGTCCAACTTTCCCAGTACCACTTGTTGAAGAGACTGTCTTTCCTCCATTGTATATTCTTGCCTCCTTTGTTATAGATTAATTGACCATAGGTACATGGGTTTATTGCTGGGCTCTCTGTTCTGTTGATCTATATGTCTGTTTTTGTGCCAATACCATGCTGTTTTGATTACTATAGCTTTGTAGAATAGTTTGAGGTCTGGAAGGGTTATGTTTCCAGTTTTGTTCTTTTTCCTCAGGATTGCTTTGACAATTCTGGGTCTTTTGTTGTTCCATATAAATTTTAGGATTATTTGTTCTAGTTGTGTGAAAAATGTTATGGGTATTTTGATAGGGATTGTATTAAATCTGTAGATTGCTTTGGGTAGTATGGCCATTTTAACAATACTGATTGTTCGACTCCAAGAGCATGGGATATCTTTCCATTTCTTTGAATCATCTTCAGTTTCCTTTATCAATGTTTTATAGTTTCCAGCATACAGGTCTTTTACTTCTTGGTTAGGTTTATTCCTAGATATTTTTTTATTGATGTAATTTTAAATGGGATTTTTTTTTAACTTTCTGATATTTAATTGTTAGTATAAAAAATGCAACAAATTTCTGTATATTAATCTTGTATCCTGCTACCTTGCTGAATTCATTTATTAGTTCTAATAGTTTTTGTATGGATAGTTTAGTGTCTTCTATATAGAGTCGCATGCCATCTTCAAATAGTGACAGTTTTACTTCTTCCCTTCCAATTTGGATACTTTTTTATTTCTTTTTCTTGTCTCATTGCTATGGCTAGGGCTTTCAATACTATGTTGAATAGAGGTGGTGAGAGTGGACATCCTTTTCTTGTTCTGAATTTAGTTAGAAGGCTTTCAGCTCTTCACCATTGACTTTTATGTTGGCTGTGGGTTTGTGGTTTATTATGTTCAGTTATGTTCCCTCTATACCCACTTTGGTGAGAGTTTTTATCATGAATGGATGTTGAATTTGGTCAAATGCTTTTTCTGTGTGTATTGAGATGGTCATATGGTTTTTGTCTTTCCTTCTGTTAACGTGGTGTATCACATTGGTTGATTTGTGTATGTTGAACCATCCTTGCTACCCTGGAATGAATCCAACTTGATCGTGGTGTACGATCCTTTTTATATATTGTTGGATTTGGTTTGCTAATATTTTGTTGAGGATTTTTGTATCTATATTCATCAAAGATATTGGCCTGTAATTTTCTTTTTTGGTAGTGGCTTTGTCTGGTTTTGCTATCAGGGTGATGGTAGCTTCACAGAATGACTTTGGGAGTGTTCCCTCCTCTTAATTTTTTGGAATAGTTTGAGCAGGATAGGTATAAATTCTTCTTTGTAAGTTTGGTAAATTCCCGAGTGAAGTCATCCTGACCTGGACTTTTCTTTGTAGGGAGTTTTGTTTCATTTTGTTTTTTAAGTAGAGTTAACTTACAATGTGGAGGGAGTTTTTTTTTTTTTTTTAATTACAGATTCTATTTCACCTCAAAGATTGGTCTG